AGGATGTCCAGGGAGGCCTGGGCTGGTGTCACAGTGTCCACTGGAAGATGCTGTCTGTCCTGCTGTTTGCCTTATGAGCAGGGCTGGGAGAGGCTGTCGAATTTTATTCCTTAAACCCCAGCAAGATGAGTTTACTCCTCAGTCTGGGCCAGAGCGTTGCACTGGCTCATGAGATTCCTTTCACCTTTCCTTTTTGTTGAGCTCGAGCAGGGCTGGGAGAGGCTGTCGAATTTTATTCCTTAAACCCCAGCAAGATGAGTTTACTCTTCAGTCTGGGCCAGAGCGTTGCACTGGCTCATGAGATTCCTTTCACCTTTCCTTTTTGTTGAGCTGTCTTGGAGGCTCGTCCCCTTCACGTGTTCATCCTGTGGATGGGTGGAAAGGGGTGGTCACACCCCACTAGACTGTCGAGCCTCCTCTCTGCTCTGCTGTTTGCTGTGCTCTTGGCAGCTATCATTTCTACCATGGGTTAAGCAAAGAGCCTACAGTGATTAGCAGGGAGAAAGTGGTGTTGCCTTTGGGGGTGGTTTATGCCACGTTCGTGCGCAGAATTATATTCGCCAGTGCATTGTTTTGATGTTACGTGCAGTCTGCTTGGAGTGTGCCTTGATTGCTGCCTGACAAACTAGCTTTTGTTGCTTATTGTAAAGGTTGAGTCAAGTCAACCAGGGGACTTGGGACAGGGTGGTCTGGAAGTGGACCTCAGCATCACCAAATGGTATAACTCATACCTTGCCATGGCCTGATATGTGATGTTTTCCAGAGAGATTTCTCCCCTGTCATCACATTTGAATTATGCTGTAGCCAGTGCTCAGCAGACTTCCATGTGATCTGTTTCTCTGTTTTTCTGTACGTCTGCTGAAGGCACACTAAGCATACTTTGTCAGTGTCTGTGCGTGTTCAGAGATGAATAAGACCCTGAACCTCTGTAAAAGGCACCTATGGGGGGACAGATATGGGTGCCCAAGTTACAAGGGAGCGGGCACCAGGAAAGAAGTTGAGGAGGAAAGGGCTGTGTGAGGAGCCACGTGGGATGTGATTCAGCTCAGCATTTCTTTGGGCGCTGTGGAGACCTCAGTTAAGATACAGCTCCTACTCTGGAGGTGCTCACGGTTTATAGGAGAGGCAGGCAGCTGCCAGGCAACCAGTAACCTGCCATAGCATGGAGGTGCTGTGTCCAGCGTGAACTTCTCACTGCCATCACTTCTAGTCCACTCGATCCCAAATGCCAGAAGCCCCACCTGACCTGGCTGGGTCCAGCGGCCACTTTCCTCTGGCTCTGAGTAGCAGCCATCAGCACCACTGGTTTCCAGAGCGATGAGCCTGCTTCATGAGCCTGCTTCATGAGCCTTCCAGATGAGTGTTAATGACAGAACCCTGCCCTGCTCACACTTTGCTGCTAGGTGGGTGCCGACAGCTCTGAGTGTGCCAGTAAAGGAATGCAGTTTACCCAGAATTGATGTGTTTCCTACCTTGAGAGCAGCTTAAGTTGTATGTAAAATCACTGGATAGGAAGAAATGCTGACGTCTCTGAATTACTCGATGCTTTCAGTTTCCTAGTGATGGGGGTTTTGAACTCTGAAACACAGTGCCTGTTGAGATTGATGTTTGCTAGTTACAGAAATGCCTGCTTTCCGGTAGTACTCTCATTCTCCTCACACATGCACGTGCACACGCACATGTGCGTTTCATAGCCATCAGAGAGAAGATGGAAAGGAAGAGGCATGTGGGAAACAGAAATGCCTGCTTTCCGGTAGTACTCTCATTCTCCTCACACATGCACGTGCACACGCACACGTGCGTTTCATAGCCATCAGAGAGAAGATGGAAAGGAAGAGGCATGTGGGAACTTTCTGGGGTTGCTGGAAATATTCTATATCTTGATTTGGTTTTGTGTTACATAGATCATTTGTCCAAACTCATTGAATGGTAGACTTATAATTTGTGTGTTTAACTATGAATTTTACCTGGAAAAAGTAAGTGTAAGCAAATAAATAATGAACTCTTGGTATTATATGGAGGCTGAAGTCTTTAGGGGTGAAGTGGACTGCTGTCTGCAGCTTATGTTGAAATGCATCAGAAATAAGATGGATTGTTGGACCGATCAAGGGGCGGATAGCAAAATGTTAACAATTGTAGAACTGGGGTGGTGGGTATATAGGTATGCCCTGTATGATTCTTTCAACTTTTCTGCATGTTTGAAAATTTTCATAGTAAGATGTTGAAACAGAAGAAGAACTGCAAATAACCCATACTTGGGCTCTTTAGAGCTTTCCATGAATGCTCCCAACAGTCAGTTTTTTTGGCTGACACAGTACTGTTTGCATAGACTGCTTCACCCTGCTTCTTAGTGTTGGTGAGGGGCTGAGGGTCCTTGGTGCAGTGTTTTCTCCTTGTACCTGTTGGTGTGGGGCACATTTCACGTTAGTGTGGACTTCCTTTGATGGTGATGCAGTTTATCAGTTTAAGGTTGAATGAACTCTGAAACACAGTGCTTTCTACTGTGACGGCAGAAAGCTGGGGATTTGCAGCCTGAGAACAGCCTGACATTGGAACCGGAGTTAGAATTAGAAAAAGATGCCTGAGTCCCTACTGACCAAAGGACACGAGCTAGTTACCCAGTTGGATGCTGGGGGAGCTCCTTTATGTATATATCTATAAAGATGATTTTTCAAAAATTTTAACATGATACAATATATGTAAACGTATTCAATTTTTTGAGAGTAGACTTTTTTGCATCTATAAAGTAACACCTGCTCTCTTGTAAGAATTTTTTTAAAAAATACTAAATGTAAAGAAGTAAAACCAGCCATAATTTTACAACCTAAAGAAACCACTCTTTACATTTTGGTATATTTCCTCCCTGAATCTTTTTTTTTTATCTTATGCATTATCTACATAATTGTGTTGCCTTTGATTTGGCAGTAATGGGGGAGTTCTTTGGAAGGAGACTCCAATGCCTCCTTCCTGTGGACTGGCCCCGAGCCGGGCTGCTGTTGTAGGGATTCTGGGCTGGCTAGACAGAGACTTCCGACTTAGTCATGGAGCCTGGGTGAGATCCTGGGAGGCTGGAACTTCTTAGAGAGCGTGCCTCCTTCCTGTGGACTGGCCCCGAGCCGGGCTGCTGTTGTAGGGATTCTGGGCTGGCTACAGAGACTTCCGACTTAGTCATGGAGCCTGGGTGAGATCCTGGGAGGCCGGAACTTCTTAGAGAGCTCAGCCAGGCCTGCCAGGCCATGGGGAACCTGTACCACGACACGTGCTTCACCTGTGCAGCCTGCAGTAAGTGCGAGAGGTGGGGGGTGGGGGTATGGGGGCAAAAGGATCATGGGGACTGAGAAAGAGAGGAGAGGGCAGATCATCTTTCCTGGAGACACTTGGCCTATGGCCCTCTATGGTCCCACAGAAAGGCAGGACAGTGTCCTTTACAGCAGGGTTTTTTTTTTACCACCAGCATAAAGCCAATCAGGGTAAGGTGACTTGCCACAAAGTACCAAAGATTGCCTGTGACTTTGGTGATAGGTTGAGTGGGTTCCACATGATCCCTAATAACATCAGTTTGTAATGTATAGCAGAGGTCTTAGAAGATTAGCGGGGAAGTACTGGGATACACCACTGTCTGCCTATTACCAGCTGTCTCCCCCCCTGCAGGAGCCAGCCAATAAAAGGTGTGGGGCGGGTCACTGCATAACTCCTTTACCCCCATCTCTGGTTTGGAGGCTGCTGTCTGAGCATGAGGTCAGAAACCTGGCAGGGGAGCTGCCACCATAATCCAGGGCTCCTGAATCCAGGCTCGCGTTGTACTTCCCCGTTTTTCTGGTTCTTCCTCCTATAATTTGCTTCCACCTAGCCAAACAAAAAGAAGGGTGTATTCTTTGCTCTGTATCATATTTTAGCCTGACTTCAGAGAGTTTAAATAATCTGCTCTAGTCACATAGTACATTGTGGAGTCATACTTCAAGACCAGGTCTCCCAGTAGGCACTTTGTAGTTGAGGCAGAGGAACTCTTTAGAACTTTTTGGTTTACAAAGCAACCTTTTCTTAAGCACTGCTCCTGGGACCATGCCGTGTGGATAGAACTAACCACCATTTCCTAATTAAGAAACTGACACTCAGGGAACTTACCAGGTTTAACCCAAACTGCTTGGGCAGTGAGTGGGTAGGAGGCTCCGGGTTAGAACCTGCCTCTTCTAATTTCTGGCTCATCATGTTGCCAGAAGGAGGGGAAGGAAGGGTGGAGAAGGCTGAGAGGAAGGCCTTGAGGACTTGAATGGACAGAGGGTGGGAGTAGGATATACCAGGCAGGGGGACCATCAGCAAAGGCTGAGAGCTGAGACCCAGTGGGGCTTGTTTGGGGGCGAGGGGCTGGTGGTGGAGGGGCAGGGGAGAGCACTGACCTTGCAGTCTGACACACCTGGGGCTTGGGTCCTGATGCTTTTTATAAAAAGTGAGGATAATAAATCCTAGTTGGTGGTTCCCACTGAGGATTAAAGGAAATAATTTAGTTGAAATTGCCCTACCTACATGCTTGGCATATTATAGTCATGGTACAGCTTTTTTTGACTATGTCTTATAAACAGTGGAAGCCTTTGAAAGCTCTGAGCAAGGGAGTAGGTCGACCAAGCCAAGGCATTCTGAATATGAGCATGGTGTTGTGGTGGACAGCGTGGGGCCAGAAATCCAGCCTCATGGCTTTTTCTGCAGTTGAAAGGACTCATAGCTGAAAGAGTGGCAGAGGGAGAGAGAGAGAAAGACATTTCAAAGGAATAATCCAGGGAGCTGGCCAGTTAGCTCAGTTGGTTAGAATGCAGCCTTGTAACACCAAGGTCACAGGTTCAGATCCCCATACTGGCCAGCTCAAAAAAAAAAGGAGTAATCCATGGGATTTGGTGACAGGCTGGTTATGGGAGGAATGGTGACTTGCTTTGCTCATTGGCTTTTTTATGACTCCATTTACACTGGTTCCCTCCCGACTCACTGGTGTGTTCTTGCCTTTGCAGGAGCCTGTGTGAAATGCAGCAAAGGGGTGTTTGGGGCCAGCCAGGCCTGCCAGGCCATGGGGAACCTGTACCACGACACGTGCTTCACCTGTGCAGCCTGCAGTAAGTGCGAGAGGTGGGGGGTGGGGGTATGGGGGCAAAAGGATCATGGGGACTGAGAAAGAGAGGAGAGGGCAGATCATCTTTCCTGGAGACACTTGGCCTATGGCCCTCTATGGTCCCACAGAAAGGCAGGACAGTGTCCTTTACAGCAGGGTTTTTTTTTTACCACCAGCATAAAGCCAATCAGGGTAAGGTGACTTGCCACAAAGTACCAAAGATTGCCTGTGACTTTGGTGATAGGTTGAGTGGGTTCCACATGATCCCTAATAACATCAGTTTGTAATGTATAGCAGAGGTCTTAGAAGATTAGCGGGGAAGTACTGGGATACACCACTGTCTGCCTATTACCAGCTGTCTCCCCCCCTGCAGGAGCCAGCCAATAAAAGGTGTGGGGCGGGTCACTGCATAACTCCTTTACCCCCATCTCTGGTTTGGAGGCTGCTGTCTGAGCATGAGGTCAGAAACCTGGCAGGGGAGCTGCCACCATAATCCAGGGCTCCTGAATCCAGGCTCGCGTTGTACTTCCCCGTTTTTCTGGTTCTTCCTCCTATAATTTGCTTCCACCTAGCCAAACAAAAAGAAGGGTGTATTCTTTGCTCTGTATCATATTTTGATTGTTGATAGAGAGAGCCTGGTTAATGTGTGTATATCTAAGTATATATGTGTATGTGTGTTTTCTACTTTCCCATTTCATTTATTATAATAATCTAGCTTAAAGCATGATATAAGGGCTGGCTGGTTAGTTCATTTGGTTAGAGTGTGGTGCTGATAACACTAAGGTCCAGGGTTCAATCCCTGTACCAGCCAGCTGCAAAAAAAAAAAAAAAAAAAAAAAACCCACAAAAACTACCAACAACAAAATAAAAATTTAAAAACACCATATATATGGAATTAAAATTAGATTTATATATATGAGAGTACTTCAAAAAATTTGTGGAAAATGGAATTAACAGATAATATGAATCTTCCCATGAACTTTTTGAAGACCCCATTGTACATATGTGTGCATCTATATGTATATGGCATATGTGTGTGTGTGTGTGTGTATATATATATATATATCTGTAGGTGTACACACACACTTATTGGATTTTGTTGATACTGCATTAAAACATATCGTTGGCATCCTATCAAATTCACGTACATTTACAAGGCAAGGCCAAGGCCTGGCTGGTTTGACTAGTAAAGCTATAACAAGCTACTTCTGGGTTCAGGTGGTTTATTACTTACATAGACAGCAAAATAAGAATATGCCAAAGGTGCCAGCTTCCTGGGTCCTTGTCCCATACACCAAACAGGATGACACTAAAACAAAAGGGGCCGATGACTGCAGTGCACACATTGTGGGATCCTGACAAGCAATTGTGGACTGCGCTGAGTGGTCTCAGAGTCCACGGTTCTGTTCTGAGGGGGCAGACAGAAAGCCCCATACCTCAGTAGAGGTGAGAGACTGTCAGCTGACAGAATCCCAGGGGAGACAGGGAGGTGGAGGGAGATGTCCTCACCTCCTTTTGTGTTCTGGAAGGCCACAAGGTGTTCCACCAAGACTCAGAAACCTTTGCCTATGTGGATATGTGCAAGTTCTCCTGGGTACCGTGGTGGGTTCCCCTATGCAGATACGCCCATATCTCCACCCACTGACAAGAAGCAGTGATGGTTAGTTTCTTTTTAGCTGTGAGAACAACGCAACAACCACAAAGAAAATTTTAAAGATAGAAACCTACTATGTTAGCCTTGTAGCACGCTATTTTCACTTTCATGTTTTCCTTTCCAGTTTTTGTCCAAGTTTATATACGTTTTTTTAGAGTTGTGATCATGGTATACGAACAGTATTGTATCCTTTTTGGTTTAACGTTAAGTCATAAATTCATAATAATTGTTTTAACAGTTACATGGTAATCGACTGAGCTGCACCACGGGTTTATGGTGTTTAGCTCATTTTGGGTTTGTGGGTGGTTACCTATGGCCCTGGTGATGTCTTTGTGCCTGCATCTTTTTTTCCCTCTGCTGAATTGTTTCCTTGGTGTTCGTTCCCAGAAGTAAGCATTGAGGGGGCAGCATGTGGGCGCTGTGTGGTTTGTTAAAGTTCTCTTCTCTGGACGTGCTCCTCCGGCTGCCAGTGTTTGGTTGCCATGGAGACGTGTTGCGTGCTGTGGGTCTTTCTCCCGCTGCAGGCTCTGCCCACCTGAGGTGGCCATGCCCCATGCTGGACGCTCTCAGGAAGGTGTTGGTACACCCTGGAGTGGGAGGGAAGGTCGGTGGAGAGGGCAGGAGCGGACTTGGCTGGTGGCCATGCACACTTGTGTGTTGAGTGGCCAGTCCGAGGAGGGGAAGCTGGCGCCCATCTGTGGCTAGAGAGAGGCGGAAGGAGAAGGAAGGAACAGTGCTCAGACTGTGGGGTCAGTGGAGTTCTCCTTGGCACCTTCCAGAAGAGACTGTGAGGGAGAAAGTAGGCAAGGGCCTGTGTCCTCATTCCAGGCAGTTTCAGATCTGAAAACGTGGTAGTTTGTTCATTTTGTAAAGAGTAAACAAATCCCATGTTGGAGTCAGGGTGAAGCCTGTTTGCCCTGTAAGTGTTCTCACAGTCTATCATTTTTTGACTGTATGAGTTGGAGAATGAATGGACTAGATAAGAGATGCCACATGCTCTCCTCCCCAGCAGCCCCTGGAACACAGGGAGCCCAGGACGTGGGGGTGGGGGTTGGGAGGCAGCCAGGCCTGCGGCTGGTGGAAGTTACGCCCAGTCCAGGCCTGAACTCAGAGGAAGGCCGCAGAGGGCTGGACCCGGCCCACTCAGGGGACAGTGCTGGGACGTGCAAGCCAAGGCCAGAGTTAATTTCAGTGTCATAACCTACCGCTCATATTCCTGGGTGGGGGAATGCACTGTGACCTGCCAGCCATACCTTACAGAGGGCATAATAACAATGAAACTAAGAATAATACCATTTCTCATCCCACTTTCCAAAAACCAAACGTCCGTGCCCGGTAAAGATTGTGAATGAGTTTTATAGAGAAATCTCACTCATTTAGACCTAGTCGGGGCCAAGTCTGGCTGAGTTAGTTAAAGCCTACATCTAGAGCACTCACAAAATGTCCTTTCGCTACTTGAGGTAAATAAAACAGTGAGAACTAGCCTCACGTGGTGGAACAGATTCTTAGTGAATGAGTAAGTGGTGACTGGCCGAGCAGTAAGTTCACATCTGGAGTGTGGGAGGGTTCTTGCCGGCTGTTTTGTTTTCTTACAAGGTCTAAATACTGCCTCTGAAATCCTTTCTTTTAAAAAAAATTATTATTTTTTAAAATTGACAATAATTGTGTGTATTTACAAGGTACAATGTGATCTTTGATCCATGTATACATTATAGAAAGATTCAGTCAAGCTAATTAACATATCCCTCCCCTCACCAACTTATCATTTTTTTTGTGGTGAGAATGTTAAAAATCTATTTTTTCAGCAATTTTGAAATATACAATACATTATTATTAACTGTGGTCACCATGCAGTGCAGTGGGTCACTAACACTTATCCTGCAGCCTCACTGAAACTTTGTACCTTTTGATCAATATTTCCCTTTCCCCATTCCACCCCCTCCCTGCCAGCTTCTGGTAACCACCTTTCTATTGTTTCTATATTGACTTTTTAGGTTCCACATATAAGAGAGATCATGCAGTATTTTTTTGTGCCTGGCTTATGTCATGTAGCATAATGTCCTTCACTTCCATCCATGTTGTCTCGAATGACAGGATTTCCTTCTTTTTTAAAGCCTGAATAGTATTTCATTGTGTATATACATAACATTATCTTTATCTGTTCACCCGTTGATGGACACTTAGGTTAATTCCACATCTTGGCTGTTGTGAGTGATGCTGAAATGAACATGAAGTACAGAATCTCCTCGACATACTGATTTAATTTCCTTTGGATATATACCCAGAAGTGGGATTGCTGGATCTTACGGTTCTGCTTTTAGTTTTCTTGAAGAATGTCCATGCTGTTTTCTAAAATGGCTGTACTAATTTACATTTCCACCAACAGTGTGCATGGATTCCCTTTCCTCCACATCCTTGCCAATACTCATTATCTTTTGTCTTTTCGATATAGCCATTCTAACAGGTGTGAAGTGAAATCCTTTACCTTTTTCTTTTTTCTTTTTTGGTGGCTGGCCTCTTTACCTTTTTCATTTAGTTCGTATATGACCTCGTCAACCCGGCCTTTGAAAATGCTCACTCATTCTGAATTAGAATCGAGCCTGAACTAGGGAGGTCTTCCTTTAATTCATGTCAGGCTCGCTTCCTTAAAACAGTCATCGCAATATTTATGGGTAAGTTTTCTAGCTTACTGTGGACGCCACACCACATAAGCCCTCCACCCACAGCAGCTCACTAAATCCTTGTAACAATCCAGAGTTCGGCATTATCATTACCCTCACTTTACAGATGTGCAGGGAGAGGCTTGGAGAGTTTAGTTTGCTTGTTACATTGCTGTTAAGTAGCGTGCTTGGCACTTGAACCCAAGACCATATGGACCCACAGTGCTTGCTCTTAGCCACTGTATTAAATACCTTTGCTTAGAGACAGTACGTGACAAAGAAGGGAACCTGGCTCTGGGCTTGGGATTTTGCCTTGACCACTGGGTTTTCGGCTACCTTTGAGTTGTGAGTGCGGGAGAGTCGCCTGGGACTTGGAAAAGGGGATGTAGAATTCAGTAGTGGAGTAAGGGCTTTGATCGGAAGTTTATTCCTTAAGGCCTTTGATCCCTGAATTTCTGAGCTGTTGAGGTGTCCTGATATTTCTCACTGTATTCAGCATTTATACATGGGCTGAGTGAGTCAGCTAGATGTAAGGAAAGAGCTAAAGGTCAAGAATGTGAGAAGGGAAGAGTGGGCAGATACTAGAGGAAATCAGTGAGTGAGGGAGAGACCAGGAAACAATCAAAATAGACTGGAGCTGGGCGAAGGGCTGGGCAGCTGGGAAGAGAGCAGAGGGGCGACGCTTATTTG